GGTGTGGTTGTGTGGTATACGTGTGTGGGGGTGGGTGTGGTTGTGTGGTATACGTGTGTGGGGGTGGGTGTGGTTGTGTGGTATACGTGTGTGGGGGTGGGGGTGGTTGTGTGGTATGGGTGTGCGGGGGTGGATGTGGTTGTGTGGTATGGGCGTGTGGGGGGTGTGTATGTGGTATATCCAATAGAGCGGGCGTAGGCCAATGTGCAGTTTTTTTTATGCTCTGTGCGAAATGTTGAGAATCGACCTGATATCCGATTTAAACCAATCTGATGTCAGGGTTTAAGGTTTATTACCCCTAGGGATTTAGGGCTAGGGTTTAGGGTTTTACGATTTAGGGCACTGATGTTCGCTATGAATTGTTTGGCAATAGTTCCAATTCATCCGTATACGTGGAATAAAACTCTCCCACTCAGTGCCTCTGCAGAAAATACATGTGAGTCCTCGATGCGCATGTGTGTGTGTGCAGCTACATACTTCAATACACTATACACATACAAACACTGACATGCACAAAGCATCATTGATCACCGTCTAAGGGCACGGATACGTGCCTAAACCAATACATATCACACAACACAGAGACATGGCACACCGCTACACTCAGTTCACATCAGCAACAGACGACCTAAATGTATAGAGGGTGCAAGCCAGATCGCCACGGTTTTACAACAGAGCATGTTGTAGGGTTTACGGTATACCATTCAAGGGTTCACAGAATGCACAGGACAATTAGCACAGACGTACCGTACAACACCAGCTGCGTAGTAGCGTCTGTGTCTGAATGTACAGTATGTGTAGCCACAAGTGCACGTGTGCGTGTGTGTATGAATGTATAGTATGTGTGTATGTGTTGAGCATTAGTGTGTGCGTGTGTGCAAGCGATACCTGTGAGTTCGGCTGTGTCTTCCTTGCAGATGCCTGTGATGTTGTAGCATGCCTCTATCTGCTGTCCCACCAGCGGTCGTGTGGGTGCCATGAAAATCACAACGCCATCAGGAAACCATCTGAAAACGACGTTTAATGACAATAGGTCAACTACACAGCAGTACATACATACAGAGGTGGCTTTAGGGTTTTAAACCCATAAAACCTCTATTCTCGAGGTGGCCTTTTTCCTAAACTATCATACACTTGTAGCTGCACGTGACATGCATGCGCACCTGTAGTAGTTGTACATGACACACATCCCTACCTGTAGTAGTTGTACATGACACACAGCCCTACCTATAGTAGTTGTACATGACACACAGCCCTACCTATAGTAGTTGTACATGACACACAGCCCTACCTGTAATAGTTGTACATGACACACATCCCTACCTGTAGTATTTGTACATGACACACATCCCTACCTGTAGTAGTTGTACATGACACACATCCCTACCTGTAGTAGTTGTACATGACACAGCCCTGCCTGTAGTAGTTGTACATGACACACATCCCTACCTGTAGTAGTTGTACATAAGCACTGCGGCTATGAAGGTCTTGCCCAGGCCTGTGGGGAGTGAGACCAGCGTGTTCTGCAGCAGAGCCACTTGTACCATGGTGTACTGATAGTCGCGCACAGGGTAGTTGGTGGGGTAGTACCAGTCGCCGTTGGTCGTGCGGTCGAACTGTGGCAGCTGCCTCTCATCGACCTCTGTGTTTGAAATTGACGCACAAACGGGTGCAAGCGAATGACATCAGTGGCATGGCACTAACTAAAATCGCTAACAAGCGTTCACCCAATGGAGAGCGTTCATCCAAAGCAAAGGCTTCTCCGCGGTGTGAATTGTTTAGAGGTACGTGTGGTGCGCTGCGGTTGAGGTGCCGTGTGCGTCTGTGTTAAGTGCACAAGTGGGACACGTACACGCCAATCCTAATTCGTGGAATACGTTTGCTGCACATCTCTAGTAGAGCCCAAATGTGCAGCAAATCGGCAATTGGTAAAAAGTGAGACAAACACTCAGCAAAACTACTTCGGCATTACGCTGGCTATTAAAAAACAAATAGTAAGCACGCGTGGGAGTGGACTGTCAGTACACTTGTACGTAAACGTCGACATTTGACTGGTCTCGGACTGGACTACGGAAGTACGAAAGTCACAAGATTACTGGTGCAACAAATAAGAGGCGAGCTTACTTCCCAACAACATACACGTACATATGTACATTTATACATACGGAATATATATATATATATATATATATATATATGTGTGTGTGTGTGTGTGTGTGTGTGTGTGTGTGTGTGTGTGTGTGTGTGTGTGTGTGTGTGTGTGTGTA